TTGTATCTGCACGCGTCCTTTCAGAATGGGTATGTCCAAAGCTGACTTATTTTTTCAGGTGCACGTTGAGAGTAATCATAAGCTGCTAGACCAAGGGGAGCAGCCTGTTAGGTTTCGGTTTGGTGGCAGCCGCTCGCTGCGTGTTGACTCGGATGGAGCGTGCTTATTTCAAAGCTTTGGATCAATCCTGTCTAATGAGTATCTTCGACAAAGAAGCGAGGATTTGCTCTCAGTTCTGAGGCAGAGATGGGATCAAAGTGAAACGTACATCATGGCTCACATCAAAAACCCTCTGACGATGTTTTTCAGGGACATACCACGGCCACAAAATGGCCGACCCTTTGATTCATGGGAGGAGTTCGAGTCATGGTTCCGGCAGGAAAGGCCAAAACATGCTCAGGTATTTATTGTGAACTCTTTAAATTAAACTTTTAGCATGTCATAACCATCATTTTCTTTATAGATCCGCCTCATGGTTGTCTTAATGACTGTGTTGCGTTGGCAAGAGTCTTACCATGGAACTGTTGTGCCAGACTATATGATGGACATGATGGGACCAGATAGGTTTGTGCACCTTTTAAACCCGGCACACTACTTCCAATTTATGTCACGGGAAACGGAATTTGGTACACAAAATGAAATAGTGAACTTTTCCCGTCTTTTCCGAATGAGAGTTCGGGTTGCTGATGTAGGTCGTTGCATTTTTTAACTTTCTTCCGTTGAAAACCTGTCCTTTTCTTCTACTAATTCAAAACTTTATTTATGCATCACTACACCTAACCATTGATTCAACTGATGAGCCGAATATAGAGTGGCCCTGGTTTGCGCTAAGATTTACCGTGCGCCTCAAAATAGTTTCAGACCTTGAATCGTATAAATTATGGTAATAAATCGATTGTTATTTTAGCACGTAAAACTGCACCTGGAAGTAGGCAACCACACGCTACCATCCAGACCACAGCGGACGGAAGACTACAGAGACGACAGGTGAGGAAAACGTCGACGTTAAAAACAATCCACACGCACCGATCTCTAGATCCACGCTTCGACGATGAGGGAAAGCACTCGTTCCAACGATTTCACAGCACACTCACTTTTGACGTACGCGCGTGCGCCGTAAAACACGGCACTTTAGGCACGGAGTGAAACATAACCTCCAAACTCGCGGCCGATAGTCTTTCGGCGTCCTAACCATTTCTGTATTTCGACAACCAGGACGGGCTGATGATCAGAAAAATGATGCGATCAGACAGCGACTGCAGGGAAGACGAGACGCGGGATACCTCCCACGACACCCAGGATGAAATCGACTGGACACCCGGCGCTCCGAAGGTACGACGAAACGCGACGCTTCTTCACTTCTCCATTGAAAGCGGCCGCACATGTGTGACTCTTTTCTGATCCATCCTACAGACCTCCCAGCACCTCCCGGACACGGCCATCCTTCGAATATACCACCACCTTCCCTTCGCCTCACTGCTGCAGCTCATGAAGGTGAACAAGAGGACTCGGCGGATGGGAAGGATCTACTCCGTTTGGCTGCCGAGGTGCCTACTGGTGGACCACACCAAATTCGCTCCGCCACGCCAGGCCCAATAATTCTTCGACTTTCACAGGAAGATGGTCGGATCGAGGGCACCCGGACTGTCGTGCATCAGGCTTCCGACGGAAATATTCCCGGCAGCAGGCGGAGACATTCAACGCCTTCGCCACTACTAACCCTACTTCGATTGCTGACGTTATTCCTTCGCGCCACTGAGGCTCCCACACA